GGAGGCTCCGCTTTCTCAGAAGGCCCAAATCCCCACGCAAATTGCACACATTTTTATTCGCCATGGCCACATCCGTTCCCGCGGGCCTATTGCCTTTGCTTGAATAACATTTCCTCTCGCAGAAATTTTCGACTGCGGTAAGATTATTTTTTTGTGGTCGTTTTGCGCGACTCGGCTCCGCTGCGGTGGAGCAAACAAAAGGGGGTTATTTAGAAATGACGGCGCCGACATGGAGGCCGTATGCACGCCTGTTGTTATTTGCACAATTGTATATTTCATCGCGGCGGGGGCCGCGGCGCTGCCGCTGAAGGTAGAGGTGCGAGTGAGAGAGGTTTTGTACGTGTGTGTGTGTGCGCGTGTGTGTTTACTGAGCCTCCCCTAGCAGCTCGCGTGTAAGTATGTACACACCGCCACTCACACCTAGCATAGCAGCACGGCCCGCCCCTCCTCTCTCAAACACACACACTGACACACGCACACACAAACTAGTCCGCCCCACGGGGGCTGTGGCTGTGGCTGGGGTGGCCCGGGCTACTCTGTGGTCGCCTCCTGGTCCCCCGTAGCACCCCCCTCCCCTCCCCCCCCCCCCTTCCCATCCGCCTCCTCATTCCTGTGCTGTATGTACGGCAGTGCTGGCTACTCCATGGTCTCCCCCCCCTCTCCCCCTCCCTCCTCCTCCCCTCAGCTTCCTCCCTCACCCCCCTTCATCGTGTCGCCGCCCGACAGACCACGTCACGACTCCGGTGAAGCTCATTTGCACACACACACACCTGGCTTGGTCTCCGGAGGCTGCGTGCGGCGCACTCGGGATGATATGGGCAGGTCAAAATTGGGGCTCTGAAACGTGTCATATTGACATTGACATCACACTGACGTCACATGTGGTCGTCAACGACTATCTCGTGTTGTTTCTTTGCCATTGGGGGGCCAGGATGCGGAGACATGCCATCACTACGAGGGGATGTGATGTCTTACTACGTACCCAGGATGGGGTTGCCCCTGGGCGTGGCCAGCCCGCCCAGCGTGAGGACGTGCGAGTGGTCGGCCGTGAGCACGATGAGCGTCTCAGTGATGTCCACCAGCTCCATGGCGGCCAGCAGCGCCGACTCGAGCGCCAGGGTCTCGTCCAGCGCGCGGTAGGCGTTGTTGTAGTGGTGCGCGTGGTCGATGCGCCCTCCTGGCGAAAAAGAGAAGAAGAACGGAGTGAGTGTGCCACAATGACGTAAATTTACAGTATACGCTCTGAAGTACGACGGCCTACCCTCGATGAAGAGGAAAAAGCCGCGGGGGTTGCGCATGAGCACGGCCAGGGCGGCCCGCGTCATGTCGGCGAGCGAGGGGTCGCCGTCGGGCCCGGCGTCCCGGTCCGCCTCGAAGTCCATGTGCGAGTAGGAGAAGAGGCCGAGCAGGTGCGTGAGCCCCGGGGCGGCGCTGGCCGCCTGCAGCTGCGACTTGTTCCACGCGTACTGCGCGCGCAGCCCGCGCCGCGACTTGTCCTTGAGCCACTCGTCCACCAGGTCGCGGCCGTCCAGCCGCCGGCCCTCCTCGTGCGGCGCCTCGGGGTCCTTGGCCGTCTTGGCCATGAAGTGGCGCCGTCCGCCGCCCAGCGCCACCTGCAGCAGGACACATCCCTTATTCATATACCGCCGCGCGACCCTGCCTCGCCAGAGCCCTGAAGCTGGGGGACTGTCTGTCCTTCTCTTCTTGAGCCGCACCTCCCTCGCCGCTCACCTGAGCCGCTCGGGGCAGCTGTCGCGCGGATTGCCTCCCTCTCTATATAAGCCCATAGGGCGCTAATCCGCTTTGCCGGCTCCGTTCTAAAGGCAGAGCCTCCCTCTTCGCGCTCCCTCCGCCTGCTCACCTCCACGACCTCGTACTACTACTACTACTACATGTCGTGGCCCATGGTCTCCGCAATACGGGATGGAGAACTCGGTGCGCCGCGTTTCACATACGAGGAGAAACTCTCCGCGGCGCGGCGGTTTCTGTCGCGCAAGTCTCGCGAGAATCGAATCTCGCGCTCTCTCCTCGCCTGTATCTCCCGGCGGGAGTTAACAACATTTCAGGCGGAAGGCGGAAGCGGTGAGTCGGCCCTTAAAGAGCGACGGGAGAGGGGGAGTCTGCCGGCTGTGAGGGTCTGCTGCCGCGGTTGCGGCGGCGTGCAAACAGCGGCGGATTAAAAGGCGGCCTGAGGCGGTCCGTCTGAATAATGGAGGGTCTTGAGGCGCCGGGAGAAAGAAATCTGCGGAGCAGCGCCTGTGGACGCCGCACGCCCGCCCACCAGCTTGCACGCCCACACCCTCCCCGGAGCAGCTCCTACCTACTCGTACCTACCTCTTGTGCACGCCCACCCAGTGCCTAACAGCTGCACGGCACGCCGCCCACCCCCTCTCCCAGAACAGACCCTGTGCACGCCCGCCCACTGCCTAAAAGCTACCCACACTCTCTTCTTAGAGCGCCTGTGGACGCACGATACTGTGCTCCGCGCAGGCGAGCCTTTGGGTTGCCTACCCGTTAGTCGTAAGGCGCTTTGAGCGTGCAGCCCGCAAAGCGATTGTGCTCGCAGGCACCTCTCTTGAGCTCTTCACGAGAACCAGCGCACAGCGAAGGTCGGTCGAGTCGAAGGTCGAGCCCGGTACGTAGAACACACGGTAAGTGGAATCATTCGTGCTCTTAACGCCGACGCAGTGAGCGGGTCATGGGGCACCCGACAATACATTTATTTCTAACGGCATGGTTCGCAGTAAAACCATAGTAAAACGGTGAGCAGACATGTGTTCTGTTTAGGTTAGGGATAAGTGGGGTAGGGGATATCTCATTCCTTAGAGACATGGGGGGCATCGGATCCACGACCGCGTCCCCATTAGAACGGCCGCTACCGCCGTTGCCGTATACCTTGAGGACACCCAGGGGGTTTGGGGTCCATGCGGCCCGGCCCGCCCTGCCCCGCGGCTGCCAAGGCGGCTGCAGCACCCGCACCGGCCACACCATCATACCGACCCCGCCCGCCC